ATGATGGAACGATACCGAAACCGTTCGTTTTGAATATTATGATTACGAAGCATGGGTGGAGGGTAGTTTTCATCGATGGATATAATAAATGAACTTTGAACGAGTTAAGGTTTTGTTACTCGTGTTATTCGTGTTTGTGAGATACTTTGAAAAAAATCGTTATACAAAGATGTTGGTCGAAATTTATTTATTAAGTTAAGTTATTTATTATGTTAAGTCTTATAAATAAGTTATATTTTGTTCGCTTTTTTGAGTATAATGTTCTGATATAATTAAATTAATTTGTAATAAAAAAGATATGAAATTTTTAAGAAAATTGTAGAGTATTATAGTAAGTGTAACAAGCAGTTTTCTCAAAAACTCGTTAAAAATACATAGTATCAGAATTATTTCCTAACGTTCCTTAATAGTTCTCTAGGGTTCTTCTGAGAATAAATGAGATAGATAGGGGAATAATTTTCTTAAGCTTTTCTCTACGAAATACCTCGTAAATTTTTATATTTCTTGATAATTCCGACACTAAACGTAACATAACTCATTCTAATCTTTAGTTCCATTGTGAGACTCCATTTTTCTTGCATTTTTATTGTTTCAAAATATTAATGAGAAAGAGAGAAGTATTAAAATAAATAAATAAATAAATAAACAGTTGAAATATTAAAATGAAATTTCAGATTTTAAAATGATCTATTTGTTCTATAAATAAATTTGTTATGAATTAAAAATATACTAACTAAAAATATTTTAGTTTCTTTTTATTTTTTAAAATTTTTTACTACTTGTGGAAATTTATTAATATTTATAATAAACGATTATAGACACATATGTGTGTGCGAAATAAAAAGGATGAAAGAAAGGGACGTGTAAGCTGGTATCGGAATAAACGATCAATAGCTCGGAACACTTTTTATGGATATAAGCTGATTTCAAAAGCTACTTCTTTATAGGAAAAATCTGTTTTACACAGCTTCATAATTTATTCCATTTTCTTTTCTTTAAAAAAATCCTAATCAAATAAATTAATTCTTTATTATTAAATTTTTCTACCAATACAATAATTGAAAAAAATTATAAAATATATTATTCGAAACGTATAATATAATATAACATAATATAAAATAATTTGAAACGAATTTACTCGAATAATCGATCTTAATAATTTAATATTAATTTACGCGCTTAATATTTATTGCCTCTTTTTTTATTTGTATTCAGAATTGATTATACCACAACTACGTTAACAATATCGATTACGGTTCCGTAAATAATATTTACACCATTTATATTGCTTTTCCAATTTTAATAAAATTGTCAGTTTCCACTTTTAAAACACGAGTTTTAAATAATAAAATGTAATTAGAAAGGCAACATGCCGTGAAATCGTCAGAGTTGGTTATATACCTTGGTTATATCTGATGTTTATTATGCGATATCGATAGATTCCCATTTACATAGGAGTAAATTATTTTCGAATACGTTTAAATCTGCATAAATTTCCTGACTGATGGCTAAAAAATAAATGCCAGCAGTTACAGAAATCGTTTTAATCGTTAATGAGAAAACACGTTCCATGATACCAATTTCAACGAAACTTCGTCAATGCCTGATAACTCAGATATATTTGACTCGTGTCATTTGCATAAATCCTCCCAATAATGGAAATACTTCATCACAGCTGAATTGCTGACTTGCGCGTGAAACGCGTTATTTAGTTAATTTTTTTTTTTTTTAAATATCTTAATGGAATAAAATTTATATTATACACATAATTGTTTTAATTAATTATATTTATTCTGCTTTATTATAAATTTAAAATTGTATAATACCGTTATAATATACATATAATTTTTTTTTTAATTCGAAGCAAATTCATATTATGAAGTTTTTTCATGTATTTCTTTATTTCGCACAAAAAAAAAGTTAAACGATAATTAGAAGAACAATTTAAAAAAATTTTAGTTCTTTGTCACTTCTCTCTCTTTTTGCTCAAAAATGTACGTACGTTGAAAGAACTTTAATTAACTTTTCGTAGACGTAACGTTTGTTAAATTTTAACAGATGTGATAAAAGGAACAGAAGATATTCCTTATGTCGTTACAAGAAATTTATGACAAGGAAATTTCCATATTATTATTTCACGAGTAGAGGAAATTTCAAAATTCCATCTAATCTAATATACAGAAGAAAAAAAAAAAAATACCAATCTTCAATATTTAACCCCGTCAAATTTTCTGTTTGAATTGTTATTATTTCTCAAAAATTCACGATCTGAATCTCTTTTGATCTCGAAGATTAATTGAACGTTATCCACTCGATCCTACGTGTAAATACATCCTCTCTCTCTCTCTCTCTCTTAAGAAAGGGGACTTTTAAACTCATAAATTCGTCGCTCGATTACTCCTTCTTACCCACCCTCTCTCTCTCTCTCCCCTTCAGCTTAGAACGACTGCGGGACCCTCTCGAACATCTTGGAAAGTGTCGAACGCAGATCCCTTTTCCCTCCCCCGATCCCTGCCAACTGCCCAATTCAAGGGATGACTTCTACAATCGGATGAGCACCGACGTAGAATGCTCTTACATCCTCCTTCTCTCTCTTTTTCTCCCTTTCTCCCTCCTTTTCCTCTCTGGCTGTCGACCGAAGCGGAGAGCGCTTTATTGCGGTCGCGTTTGTAGAGTACATGGATGAAAAAGCATAACGTGAATAACCGCGAAAGGGAGAGAAATGGAGGACGTGGAAAGAGAGAGAGAGAGAGAGAGAGAGAAAGGACAGGAGCGACGCAGCATGCACCAGATACAAGGGAATGCAAGGGGGAGGCAGAGTGGAGAGACGACGGAGGTGGGAGAGGGCGAGTCGTAAAACGTTGGGTTTTGCAAGAAGCGGCCTGGTGGCGGCAGTCGCGAGCGAGAGGGTGAGAATGGAGAAGGGAGCCGCCACAAAGTAGGCGCACCGCTTTATCGTCGACCAAGGCTC